TCCTCCCTTTCAGAATATTGCGGAAATGTGTTGGGCAAGTTTCGATGAACAACACCGATGCACGACCAGTTGTAACTTTTTCGGGGTGACTTTTAGAAATCTGCAACTATCTCCCACATTCCCAGGATCTCCTTTTTTTTTGAACCTATTCTCTATCCTTCCATTGTGGGATATAGGTCTCCCCCAGTTCTCTCGATCTTTCCCTATCTTGAGCTGTTCTCTGCCATGTGGGACCTCCTTGTTTCCTAATGTCATCTTTCCACCTCATCTGTGGTCTGCCTCTTAATCTCTTTGCATTGTATGGACGCCACTTTCCGATGGCATTGTTCCATCGTCCGTCTTGGAGACGTTCATTGTGTCCAGCCCATTTCCATTTCAGTTTTGCTGCTTGTTCTATCGCGTCTACTGTCTTTGTTCTGTTTCTGATCCACTGGTTACGTTTTCTATCTCTAAGTGATACACCCAACATGTGTCTCTCCATCGCTCTTTGTGCCTTTCTTATCCTATCCAAATTGGCCTGTGTAAATGTTCATGTCTGTGCTCCGTAGGTGAGCACCGATATTATACAGGAGTTATATACCTTGCTTCGTAAGTATAGAGGGATTGTTTGATTTTTTAGAACGTAAGTAAGTTTGCCGAACGCTGCCCATCCCATTCTTACTCGTCTCGATATTTCGGCTGTTTGATTCTTTCTGTTAGCTCTGATTGCTTGTCCTAGATAGATATACTCATTTACCTGTTATATTTTTTCTGTTTTTATTTTTATTGCCTCTTGGTCTTCCGTGTTTGTCATTACTTTTGTTGTGTTGAACTTAATTTTTAGGCCTTTTTGCAGTGATTTTTTATGAAGTTCATTCAGCATTAATTCCAGTTCTTGTCGTTCCGAGGAGATCAGGAGTATATAATCCGCATATCTAAGGTGATTTAGGTATTTTCCGTTAATACATATTCCTCTGTTTTCCCAATCTGTTGATTTTATTATGTCCTTTATATCTCTTTATATCTATCCAATTCTGGCTCCTCTTCAAAACTAATTTTTCGTTGAATCACCGTATGCTGCTGCGAATGTAGTTCGTCTAATTCCTCGGTTATCAGCTCCCGAGACTGTTCTTCGAGAAGTTCGTTCACATCTCTTTCATGCACCTCCAGACCCATGGATTTTCCAAGAGAAACATTCTCATCTACCACTGACACTTCGGGTTCCAGTCCTTCGCAAGCCCTTTCATCTACAGCCTCAGGTCACAGCTTTTTCCATTCAGAGGTTAAGGTCCTTTCTGTAGCACCCAGCCAGGCCTGCTCAATAATTCTTAGGCATATTACTATGTTAAAGTGGTCCTTCCAGAACTCTTGAAGGGTAAGTTTTATGTTCTCCGTGTCCTCAAAGCAGCGCCAAAAAATTTACTTGGTATACAACTTCTTAAAATTAGAAATCACTTGCTGATCCATGGGCTGCAAGATAGGGATAGTGTTGGCTGGTAGGTAGAGAATCTTTATAAACTTGAACTCTTGAACTAACTAATCTTCGAGATTTGGTGGGTTAGAAGGGACATTACCAAGGACAAAGATAATTGTACATCGTCTCCCTCCTAATCATTGTGAGCTGAACCCTATCGACCTTCTATGGGCTCAAATAAAAAACCAAGTGGCAAGAGAAAACTTGTTTGTGAGAAAATATTTTAAAATGGAAGAGGTGAAGGTGAAGTGCTTGTTAGCTACTACCATACAAAATGTCACACCCGAGTCTTGGAAAAATTATATAAGACACACTATAAAAGAAGAAGATATAATGTGGGACTTAGACACAAGAGAGGACATTTCGGTTGAACTATTAATTATTAATGTAAATAATAGTGGTCGCGATAGCTCTTTATTTCTATATATATATATATATATATATATATATATATATATATATATATATATAATGAACTAGAAGTATTTGCTGACAACAAGGAAGTAAATTTTCAATATTGGGTTTGCAGCAATAAAAATAATACGTGTACTCTTTTAAATTTTAAATATAGGAATAAGTTTTATGTAAAAATATGACAGACTGTGATAAGTTTTATCGACATTGTAGAAAATCATTGATGATCCAATCTCATTAAGTTTGTAAGTAGCGAATCTTTAATTAATTATACAAACCTGTAACAAACTATTCATCACATTTGTAGCTCCCTGATGAAGGACATAACCATGTCCGAAAGCTCGGAATAAAAATTTAAAAGAGTACACGTATCATTTTTATTGCTGCAAACCCAATATTGAAAATTTACTTATATATATATATATATATATATATATATATATATATATATATATATATATAAAACAGCAGTAAAACAGTAGCAACCAACAGAGATGGAATGCCTGCGAAGTGCTGCAGAGTAACAAGAATGGATAGGAGAAGTCTTCTTCTTCTTCTTCTTCTACTTTTTGTAGATCTTTCGATCTGTTTAATTCTGAAGCTACCTCTGGTTAATTTCTTGGGAGGTAGATTGCCAACTATCCCTCCATCTTTTAGGTAGTCTTCCCGGGGGTCTTGAACCGGGCGGATTGTTTTCTAGGGCAATTTTTGGGAGTCTATTATCATCCATTCGTCTTACATGGTTGTACCACATCCTCTTGCGCTGCCTTCCCCATCTTACAATATCTTGAATTTTGCACTGCTCTCTAATGTTTGTATTTCTCGCTCTGTCTCTTCTTGTTTTCCCCATTATTGTTCTTAGGGTTCTAATTTCGGCAACCCTTAGCATCTGTTTCGTTTTGTTAGTATCTTCGCGCACTTCTATGCCATATGTCATGATCGGTCGTATGCAAGTCTTATAGATTCTAATTTTACTATCTGTGCGCATATACGGATTTGACCAGACTATCTCCCGCAGACAACCTGACAGTGCAGATGCTTTGTTGATCTGACTCCTCAGGTCCTTTACTGGGTCGTGGGTGCTTGATATATCTATGCCCAGATATCTGAATTGCATCACCTGTTCTATGGGGTTGTCCTCAACCACTAACTTACATCTGAGCGGATCTTTTGCTATTGTCATACATTTAGTTTTGTTGGTAGAGATGTTCATATTTAGTAGTCGGCTCGTTTGAAAGAACTGAAAGAGCTGCCTTTGGAGATCATCTTCTGATTCGGCAATAATTGCTGCATCGTCTGCGTAACACACCATACCAATTCTTTTGTTGCCCATTCTATATCCGAGATTAAGAGATGTTACTTTGTTGATAATTTTGCCCATGAGAAGATTAAACAAGAAGGGGCTTAAACTGTCGCCTTGTCTAATTCCTCCCGGTGTTGGAATATTTTCAGTGAATTCGTCTCCTGCTCTAACTTTGGTTACGTTGTTGTTATTTAGTTTATGGAGTATCTTTGTTTTACTGGTCGGTGTTTCATTTTCTATTAATATATTTAGAATGTCTGCCAGGCGAACTCTGTCAAATGCCTTCGTCAAATCAATGAAGCAAATATACGCTGGCATGCCGAACTCTATAGCTTTTTCTTTTATTTGTTTTATTATAAATACTGCGTCTGTTATAGACCGCCCTTTTGTAAAACCTTGTTGTTCTTCAGCATTAGTGATTTGCTTTTCCAATTTGTCCTTGAGAATACCCGTGAAAAGTTTCATTGTTGTATTTAAGAGGGTTATTCCTCTATAGTTTTGTGGGAAAGTTTTTTGTCCTTTTTTAAATATGGGAATTGTGATACTATTATGCCATTCCTCTGGTGTTTCTGTTTTGTTTAATATTTTGTTAAATAGTTTACTTGCAAGTTCCGGGCCTCCATATTTTAAAAGTTCATTGGGTATACCATCCGTTCCCGGTGATTTTTTGTTTTTTAGCTTTTTGATCTTTGCTTCTACTTCTTCGTCATTGATTGTAGCACTCACATCTGTTTCGCCTTCGTTTATATTCAGCGTTTCTTCAGCATCATATAGCTCTTTAAAATGCTGTTGCCATGTCTCTATAGGTACTCCTTTGGTCTGCACAAACTCGTTAACTGGTTTTTTCCTGTTGCGGAGCATTTTCCATACTTTCTTTTGGGCACCCTATAGGTCGTAGTCCATGTCGCAAGTGAATTTGGCCCAATGTTCTCTGATAGGAGAAGTAATGATGAAATAAAGCAAAGAACATCAATAGAAACAGACATACTAACATATATAAAACAAAACAGACTAAAGTGGTATGGACATGTAAGAAGAACTAGCGACAGCTGATGGATAAAGAGAATAACCGAATGGAGCCCCATAGGAAGGAGGAAAAGAGAACGACCCCGAAGATCCTGGAGGAACGAAGTAGACGACGCCATGAGTAAGAGAGGCCTAAACGATAGAGAATGGGACAACAGAGAGAGATGAAAACGGTTGAGCAAGGGAAGGCAGTAAATACTGCAGAATCCCTGAATCCCTTCAGATGTTTTCCGGGTTTGACTCCACGTTAAATAGTTTTGGTTAATTATGATAACGTTGATCTACTATTCCTTTCTACCGGTCCTAGAATATGTTGTTGTCATGTATGACTTTTACAAAGAATATTATCGAACTTTAGATGTTTTCTATATATAAGTATTGTATATAGGTATAATATTATACATAAATATTGATGATATTAAATATATTTTATTAGATACCTTAACAAATACAAAACGATCATTAATATGATAATTTTGCTGCATGTCAATGATTAAATTATAAATTGCTATAATATCTATCATCACAAACTGGCAATGATGTCGCTTTATCGCATTCACAGTTCGGAGAATTTACTGCCTACAAATTTGATTCTCAACTATAAAACGATCCAATTTAGAATTGTAACACCAAGAAAATTCACACTTTTTAATGATGTTTTATTGTTATAGGACAATGGAAAAATGGTTACCTATACTCTCTTCACTGTTGCTACCTCTGGCAGGCCTATCGACTTTTGAACCAACCTGCAAGTTTCACCTTAGTTTTCTTCAAGGACAACAACTGACATGTAATAATGTCAACATGAACTATTTCCATACGGTGGACATCCCTCTTAATCGAACTCACTGGTTCAAGTGCCACAACTGCACACTAGACGTCCTGGACGAGAGCACTTTTAATTTTCCTAAAAGAAATAACATCTCAGTAGTGGATCTGCCCTACTGCGGAGTCCGAGTCTTGAGGAAATACGCCTTTGAGAATTTTTTCCTGATGAAAGTTTTAGTTTTACATAATAATAGCATACAAATATTGGAGACGATGTGTTTCAGCGGTATTAAGAGATTAGTGCATTTGGATCTGAGTACAAATTACATTAAGATTTTGGCTAATAATTTATTCTTAGAACTAGAGAATTTGGATATACTAAATCTAAGTAATAATCAGATAGTTTATATAAATTCGGAAGCTTTCTGTGGCTTGTCTAATCTCAAATATCTCTACTTAAACTACAATAATCTTGATAAATTAGACGAGAACACCTTTCGACATCTCCAGAACTTAAAAATTCTTTATTTGGAGCACAACCGAATCCATAATATTCACCCTAACGCTTTTAATAATTTAGGAAACCTCAACTTTTTGTATATTAGTCATAACAGTATTACATACCTAGTTCAGTATAATTTTAAGCAGCTAACTAGTCTTTTAGATTTGCAGCTAAGTTTTAACAATATAACAGAAATTCAAACCAGCGCTTTTAATGGTTTGAAGAATCTAAGATCTCTACATTTAGGTAACAACTATTTGGAATCTATCAAACCGTACGGTTTTGTGGGGTTAGATAGTTTAGAAGTATTAGATTTAGTTAATAACTTCTTCGACTTTATTAATTTCTTTGATAGTTTTGGCCATTTGGAAAATTTAAGGTACTTGTGGCTGAACAGAAATTTTATTGGTAATATTACTTTTGACTATAAATACGAAGTACAAAATGCATTGTCTATTCTTGATATTAGTGAGAACAATTTATCAAGCTTTAATTTTACTCTGTTTTACAAATATTTGCCAAACGTTAGAGAAATTGTTATAGCTAATAACTCGTGGGATTGTGATTTTTTTGTAGAGATGTACAAGTTTTTTGAAGAGACTAACACCACCGTTTGTATTACTAGTAATTGTGACTTGAACGCTACCGAGGTTTATACCGATGAAATATGTGTTAATTCTGACATAGAAACTACAGAACGTGGCAAGGAAGATATTTCCATGGATTTTTCCACGGATCAAAGCTACAAGCGTGAGTGTTCTTGGAGTATTATTTTGTTATGTTTAGCAACAGTATTATTAGAATATGACGTACCAAGCTAGTTTGGTTTCACCAAAGTTACTGTCTCAAAATTGTTTCAAAATTTTTCGAAAATATTTATTATTGTTGATATAAATGTTCGTTATTTGGCATATACAACACAGCTCAATATCCATTATTGATGCTCTGATTTCCGGTACACGTAAACTCATCACCAATTAACATAAATACACTCGTAGATAGTACAAGCCCCTCGCCGCAATAAGACGAGGATTTTAAAAAAAGACCTGAAGAGATTTACAAATAGATCACGGGCATATCTGCACCCCGTGGCAGGTGAAGACCATAAAATTTTAACCCTTTAACTATTTCTAAAAGCCGGAAACTCCACTTAAGCATTTTGATGCATTCTCTCATAATACCTCAAATTTTAAAAATTCCCGCCAATGATGCCATGAGGCGTAGAATTTTATGTGTACATAAAATTAAGTCTCTTTCGTCTTCTATAGTTTATTTTTATGAACGAGAGAGTAATTAGCATAATTTTAACTGGTACCTCCGACCACTCCATGGGCGTGCTCAAGATTAATTGAAAAATTACTTTGAATAATTGTAAAAAATAAATGAATTATTTCAGTGTTATAAAGTGTTATGTGTATGTACATAAAAGTGACCTCTTTTATCACACACTATATTAGAACTGACTGGCCTACATTAAAAAGGGTTTTAAAAAATTCACATTTTTTTTAATTTTTAAAAATTACAAAAGAGAAAAAGAGTTTTTAAAACCGTCTAAGGTATGTTAAATAGATGAATAAAAATATTAATATAAAACTTACAGCTACTTGTTACAAATCCAAATCAGATTCAGAAGATGAACTTTCAGAACCAAGATTTATAATAAGTGGCTCGATCATTTTATCAGTAATATTGTCCAGCTTCCACATTTTTTCCTCTTCTTTAATAGTGTGATTTACTGCCTTTTCCCAGTTTTCAGGTTTTACATTATTTACGGCCTCCAAAAACAACTGTTTAACATCATGAATTTTAAAAGTGGTATTTTTTCTTGAAACTTCACTCTTTATCTGTGCCCATACCAGTTCAATCGGATTTAATTCACAATGATATGGTGGGGATCTAAGTACTGTCATTCCACGATTTTTGGCAATTTCATCAATTTCGTATTTTTTAAATTTTTCTTTATGAAGGGCACACAACGAATAAAGTTCATTTCTTATAGATCCGGGATGGTACGTAATATTTTTTGAACTTAGCCAATTCTGCAAGTCTTTTTTTAACCACTTGGTTGTGGGCAGTCCTTCTATAAGTCTGGAGTGATAACTTGCATTATCCATTACTATTACACAGTTCTTAGGAAGAAGATCTATCATTTGTTCGAACCATTCTTGAAAGACATCAGCGTTCATGTCTTCATGGTAGTCACCGGTACGAGTTGATTCAAAAGTTAATAAACCACCTTCAACAAAACCGTCTGAACTGCCAATGTGTACTATTATCAGCCTGCGTCCCTTTCCTGATGGTGGGTTTAAACCAGTAGGATAAGTTATTTACAAAAGCGTGCCTTTGACTTGTAACAGTTTCATCCTGCCAAAATTTATTTGGTGTATGACCCTCGTTGATCCATGTTTCATCAAGATAAAATATTTTTCTTTTTTGGTTTCTCATTTCCTTTATGGTTCTTAGAAAATGTCTTCTCCATATGACAATATCGCTTCTTTCTAATAAAATATACTTTCTGGGATTCTTTTTCCAGCGGAAGCCTAATTCTTTTAAAAGTTTCCATAACGTACTTCGACTCATTTCTGGGTAATCCTTATCATCTCTGAGACAAGAACTTTATCCAGTGTTGGAAATTCTTGTCTAAAGAAGAATTCATGCACTTTCCGTCGAAGTCCTTCTTTAAAATAATATTCTATTTGAAATTTTGGTTTCCCTGGAGCATTACGTGGCATTTGAAAACTACCACATTTCTCTTCTTTAATAACTCTGTAAATCGTAGATTTCCCAACACCAAGTGTACTGCCAACTAACTCAACGGTCTCATCAACACTTTCACATAAACGTTTGTCTGTAATTGATTTAAAACAATTAAATATTAATGTTTTTTCATTAACTGTTAAAGGACCAATTTTTCGGCGTTTACACGGCACTTCCAAATTTTCCATAACACTAGTCTACACAATAAACTGCACCTTGCAACTGAAGTACCTACTTTTAGTGAACTGTTAAGAATTTTGAATACGCCACTTGGACCTTCCTACAAAATGGAAAAACCCCCTATCACATTTTCTGTGGAATAAGTTTAGAAGGTAATTATCTAGTCAATTACTGTCGTAGATTCCTGGAATTAAAGAATTAAATGTTTGATTGTTGAAACCCTTACTTCGTGGAATGCACTCATTTCAGATAAAATAAAACGTTTTATTTTATCTAAAGAGTTAAACTTTATTTTGCAAATAGGTAGGTACTTATTAAACTTTTATTGGTTATATATAACCAATAAAATGAACATCTTACATTTCTTGCAAATTCATTAGTACCTGTTAACCTCCATCACTTCGACACTGGCAACCTTATTTAGGGATTAGTAACCCTCACAATTATTGTATTCTATTCTGCTCCAACCTTTATACCTGGTGGTCATACTCAATTTAAAATTGTTTTCCTATATACTTCTGTAAACTTGTTGACAAATATCTGTTTTTCATTGAGTCACCCGTATCAACAGTTTAGGGATTTGCATACATAATTTATTGTTTTATTACTCTCTCATACATAAAAATACACTATACAATAGTGTTAAAATGTTCTGCATTACCTTACCAAATACATGACAATAGAAGTTTAAGGCATTTACCTTAAATATTGTTTAACCATATCTAAATAAAAAAACTAGGCTATTTACATCAAGACGATATACTACATCACATTTAAGTAATTTAAACTAATTTTAATATTTATTTGGCCAGTCCTTGTTTATAATAACTAGTTCACATCTTCTGGGCGTGAAATTTATTAATTTTTGCATTTCCTCCATGGAAATACAGAGATGCCAAGCGTGGATTAGACATTCGATTAATTTCGTTTTATTTGTGGGTTTGCTTTTAGAAATTATGTTTGATATCCTTAGCCACAAATTCTCGATGGCATTGAGGTCCGGAGATTGCACTGGCCAGACCATCCTATCAATTTCATTACTCTCCATCCAATCTTTAACCAATTGTGTTCTACGGCAAGGAGCATTATCATCCTGAAAAATAAATTTTTCTTCGCCAAACAGGTCTTTTCCACTACGCAGCATCTTATTCTGTAGTACTTCAATGTCTTTGGTAGCATTCATCATCCCAGAAACAACGTGTAGGCGACTAACTCCTCGAACGGACATGCAACCCCATATCATAACGGAGCTTGGATGTTTAATTTTGGGAAGAACACATTTTGGAGAAAATTCTTCACCATCAAATCTTCTGACGTAGGCATTTCCAGCATGATTATTAATATTGAAAGTGGATTCATCACTAAACAGTACACTCTACCACTGCTCTGCTGTCCAGATTCAATGTTCCTTGACCCATTTCAAACGGTGCAATGTTTGTTTTTCTGAGCAGTGGTTTCTTCCGTGCCTTACATTCTCTAAGTCCAAAACTAAGCAGTCTTTTTCTCACAGTGGAAGTAAACACCCTTACACCTTTAGATTTAGACCACAGTAGATTTGTTCTTCTTAACGCAGCGTCATCCCGAACAGAAGTTTTCTTTTGTCGGCCACTATGCGGTCTGACGTCGATTTTTCCTTTTTAGCATACTTTTTAATGACTCTAATTACTGTAGATGATTACAGTTTACTGTGGATGCTATTTTGCAACTAGCTTTGTCGTTTTTATGGTGAAAAATAATTTCAAAACGCTTTTCGTCCAATAATTTAGTTTGTTTGGTCTGGGATGACATTTTGATCTTTTAATCAAAAATAAAAGAGCACATAAATGTGTTAGGGTAACTACAGTGTTTTATATAGTCAAAATATGTGGCAAATTTGTCATTAGTATTCAATTTAATAGTATTTTAACTACTTAATAATCACCCCATAATTTTCTCGGATTATGGTAAAGCCCTTCAATCAGATTATTTTAATCTTTTCTGTAGAATTATGAACTAGTAATTAAAAAAACATTAGTAAGTATACCGATAATGCTAATTAAAAACACAAACTTAAAATGAATTAGCGAAAATATACGAAAAACTTGTGTTAAACCTCAAAAACTATAAGGTGTTTAGGTGATGCAGGACTTTTTAACACCACTGTATATAGTAGTGCCACACTCAAATTTTTAGTGTGGCACTACTATATATAACGCCAAAACAGTAACATTTAGATCGAATGTATGCTCAAAAAAGTAAATTTAGAATTCAAAGAAAAATTTTACAATGCAATGCATATCAAATAACGAAGTTGGGGAACATTTCCGATATATACAGACGTGCTCAAAAAGATTTTTTTTAACAAATTAACTATGGACACCGTTCACCTATTCAGCTGAATTTTTGGACCTAAAATCCATCTATACTAGAGTATAATAGACCAGCATTTCTGTGTCTGATTGACCTAAAAAGATAGAGTTAGACTCAAAGATGTAATCTGTATAATAGAGAAGTTCCCCTATATACTGTAAAAACTATCGAAAACATCTACCAAAACAACAAAATGGAAATCAGAATAGATGGACAACTTATAGAACTTATAGAAATAGGCAGCAAAATAAGACAGTGAGACTCACTGAGCCTTATGCTTTTTAATTTAATCATGGATAAAATCATCAAAAGCATTAACAAAGGAAGTGGATACAGAATTTGAAACAAAGAACTAAAAACACTTTGTTACGCAGACAACGCAATATTGATAGCCCAAGATGAAAATACTATTCAATACCAATTCAACATTTCAATACTAATTCAACATACTATTCAATACGCAAGTAAATCTAGACAGATGGCAGGAATACATAGCAGAACTGTTCAGTGACAACCAACACATTGAAGTATATGA